CAACAACAATGACCACCCCCCCCAAAAAAAAAACAACAACCCCGACCCGATAACTATCACCATGAAACATATATTACGAGGAACATTATGATACATAAAAATACATACACTTAAACGTTTTGTTGTTGTTGTTTTTTTTGTTGTTTTATTTTTGTGCCACAGGAACAATACCCCACCCTCCAACAACAACAAAAGTAAAAATTCAAAGAGAGAACAGCGTGCACATGTGACTGTATGCAGTTGCGAGCGCAGTAAAAATCTTACTTAGGCCTAACAACTAAACAAAAGAGTGTACTCGTACTCGCAGTTTTTTCTCTCTCTATTTTTGGTACAGTATTTCACTCACGGGAGCGTCTCGAGATCAGATGTGCAAAAGTACCTTTCTTGCTCATTTTAATCTCCTTTACACATATTTGGATTTATATCCACTTCAAATAATTAGTCTATGAGATTATGGATATTTTTATACGCACTATATTACTTACAATAGGACCTGTGGCGTAGTAATATTTGACTTACTTTAACAACATGGGGGGGGGGACACCCCCCTCCCATGCATTTCGTCATGATTTGATGTTTGGCAATTAGGACTGACATTTACTAGAAATTGATTTGCAGGGGTTTTAGTGGCCATGTTTCCATGCGTGTGTTTTGCAGTAAAAAAAAAAGAAGCGTGTCAGTTTAGCCCTCAAAACAGTGCACCGAAAAGTAAAAATGTACCCTTTCTTAATATAGGTGTTTTTACGCCACCATCGGCCCAGTTTAGATCATTATTTACTCACCCGCGCCCAAAATGCCAGCCTCCTAGCCCTCTCCATTTCAAGATAATGATTCGGAGAACGCCACACCAAAACCGGCGGAACTGGGCTGTAATAAATCCTCCTAAACCCCTCCATTGTCCTTCTGTTTCGTCACGATGACAACAACAAACAATAGGAATATATTGGAAGGTTTTTGAAGACACAAAAACCCAAACAAATCCTCGCTTGATTGAGAAATCGTTATATTTCTACATACAAAGCACGTGGGACCCGCAGAAAGAGTAGGAGATCCACTCGTCCTCTGGTGAGAGCTAATACCGCAGAAGACTTCCTACTTCAAATATGGCGCAGCCTTTTAAAATTTATTCAATTCAAATACCCCCCTCCACTTACAAATACAACCCCCCCCCCTCCCCCATACGAACTGGAGTTAGTTTCTAAAGTAGTTTTTACAGCAGATCTTTAAAAAGAAAATGAAAGAGCTTGCGTCCTGCTTTAAAAATACATGTAGTTAGCATCTCCCCCCCCCCCCCCCTTTTTTTCTCTCGAACAAACAAAGAACAATATGCGGCTGAAAACAAGTGACCACTCGACCAACGTGTGCAGGGACAACAAAGAAAAGAGAGACCGTCACACAGGTGGTTATCGAGGGTGGGCTACACAAACTTTTACCGGTGCACGCCTTGCGTAATAATCGCCACCTAGCTTAGATTAGACCGGGGCGGGGTGGGGTGATGTTTTGTTATAACCGGTGTCAAAATTCCACCATCTTTTTCATTTATTACAATCCCCCCCAAAAAAAGAGCTTGCAACTTGCAAAGAAAAACAAATAAAAAATAACCCCCTTCCTTTTCCTTCTCAATGACAAAGAAAAACAAGCGAGAGTTATCGAACTTGGGGTAAAAACTTTACCGGTACAAGACTCGTGTAATCCCCTCCTAGCTTATGTAACGAGGCGGGGCGGGTTGTCCAGTCATTATGGGTCTTAGAAAACCCATCATCTTCCTTTGTCATTACTACAACCCC